GGGGGGGGGGGGAGTTAGGGCGGGTTGAGGGCTGCTGCTCTGGCCCGCATCGGCGTCAGCCGAGGGCGGAGCCGCGCCTCGCTCTCGGCCGCCTCGTACAGGTGCTCTCCGGGCAGGTAGACGCCGCTCAGCAGGCCGCCGCGGCCCCGCTCCGTCTGCTGGTTGAGAGCCTCGCCGACCGAGTCGGCGCGCGGCGGAGTGGCGCACGGCGTGGCCGCGGCCGACGCGGCCGACGCGGCCGAGGCGGCCGCCGAGGCGGCTGAAGACGCGGCGCCGGCGCCGGTCCCGCTCGAGACGACGAGGATGCGCGGCCGGCCGCCGGTTGTGTGGTGGGCGGCAGCGTGGCGCGCGGTGGCGGCGTCGACGAGTGCGGCGGCCAGCGCGCCGGCGCGGCTGCGGAGGCTCGCGCGCATCGAGAGGAGCGTCTCGAGGGTGGTGGCGAGCCTAAGGTAGGAGCCCGCCAGTGTCGGGGCGTGACCAGCGGATCGTGCAGTGTGCTCGGGGCCTCGCGTGTGCTTGCGTGCGGCCCGGACAGGGGCCGTGAAAACGGCTGCAGTGCGTGTGCCCTCGAGCGCGAATACACGGGTGCGTGTCTCGCATCTGGGGCGGCGAACTCGCGCGTCTCGACGACTCGCTCGTGGGCGAGGGAGTGGGCGAGCGCGCCGAGCACCTCGTCCACGGGCAGCTCCTCGCCCGCTGACAGCGCGGGCAACTCCTCGCGCACCGCGCTCGCCGCCGCGCCTGCCGGCACGTAATCGCACACGGCGCGCAAAGCGATGGCCTTGAGCTTGACTCCGGCGAGGGTGGGCGAGAGTGACGAGGCGGTGATGACGAGCGACGCCTTGAGGTCGGCCACGCGGTCTGCGAGCGCCTAGAAAGCTCGCGGAAGGCTCGCGCTGGCGTCTGCAGCTTCTTGCGACGCGGTGTTGCGGGGGCGCCTTGGTCGAGAGCGTGGTCGGCAGGCACGCGTAGACGGCGCCCACCCGCTTCGCCGCCTGCAGCCAGACGAGCTGCGCGAGCCCGTTCGGCAGGTGAAGCACCAGCCGGTCGCCGGTCCCGACGCCCGTGCCCCGGAGGACTCGCGCGGCGGCGGTCGAGCGGAGGAGGAGCTCGGAGTAGGTAATCGACTTGCGCGCGCGCTCGAGGTCGGTCGTCCGGTCTGAGGACGGCACGCCTAGTCAGCCACCGTCCACCAGTCCGCTGACTGATCCGCGAGTCCCCCACGGCCGGACTAGAGCAGGCCACGCCATACGCGACAGCCGCCGCCTGGTTGCCGTGGCCGCTCAGCACGTGCCGGTCCACCTCGTTGAAGGCGGCAGAGGTGCGGCCGCCCACGAACCAGTCGTAGCACGGCGCGGCGGACTCGTCGAGCGCGGCGCTCCACGGCCTACCGCAAGGCTCCGACAAGTCTCCGAGCCGCGGCTCCTCGAGTGGAGACGCGTCGAGCTCGGCTTCCAACTCCAACCTCCACTCCGGCCCGCGCGGCGCGGCGGGCGCGCCGCTCGCCGCGTCCCACCCGCGCCACGACCCGGCCTCTTCGTCGAGCGAGAGCCACGCGCCGCTTTGCCCGTCGAGCCAGTGCAGCCGCGAGGCGCCGACGCGGCCGTGGAAGTCGCCCGGCGACTCCGCCGCGACCGCCTCGAGGTCCGAGCGGCTGGTGAGCGGGTTGGTGACCGCGCACGCCCTCGGCGCCACCGCCGCAGCCGGGGAGGGCGAGTCGCCGCGGGCGGCGGCGGCGGCGGCGGCTGCGGCTCCGCCTCCCGCGGCGTGTGATGCCTCTGCCCCTGGTGCCTCTGCCCCTCGTGCCTCTGCCCCTCGTGCCTCTGCCCCTCGTGCGAGACGGAGGAGCTCGTCGGGGCGGGCGGAGAGGTACTGGTGGTACTCGGCCATGAGCAGCGCCGCGCCGTACGCGCCGCGAACCATGTTGTTGACGACGAGCGAGAAGCAGATGTCCCACGCCCCGTCGGCCAGCTTGACGTTGCCCACGCTCACCTGCCCGCAGCATCGCCCTCTGAGGCATCGCCCTCACGCATCGCCTCGGGAGAGAAGCTGGTCCAGCGCCGCCGGACACAGTGCAGACGCTCACCGCCATCCCGACCCACTCGCCTACACCTCGCCTACACCTCGCCTACACCTCGCCTACACCTCGCCTACTCCTCGGCCGCATCTCGGCCGCATCTCGGCCGCATCTCGGCTGCATCTCACCGCCATCCCTCCCCACTCGCCGCGCGCGGCGGGAGGGCGGCCGGGCTTTGGGGTGCCGCAGTGCGATGCCGGCCGCGGCGTGCCCACGTCGCGCATCGTGTGCAGCGGCCGCGGCGGCAGCGACGGCAGCGCACCCTCGGGCAGGTGAGAGAGCGGCGCAAACTTCTCGAACGCCGCGTAGACCTCCTCGACGCTCGACAGCGCGGCGGCGTCCCTCACGCGGACGCGCACGTCGACAAAGTGGCCGACGTGCACGCCCACGCGGTGCGCGCGCACCGAGAGCGACTCCGTCGGCACCAGCGCCGCGATCTCGTTTGCGATGTACGTCTCGGTGTTTTCTTTTGTGCCCCAGATTGGGTACACGTTCCCCTGCACGAGCTCGGGCGGGTAGAGGGCGTCGCCGCGGCCGGAGAGGGACTGGAGCGTGCATACCGAGACGTCGCGCAGGCCGAAGGCGGCGTGCAGCGCGTGCAGCGCCAGCGTCGTCCCCACGGACACGCAGTTCGGCGACTTGAAGAGCGCGGCGCCCTGCGCCATCGATCGCGGCATCTGGGTCGGGTTCACCTCGAGCACCATCAGGTTGTGCGAGCGCTTGTATGGCGAGATGGAGAAGACGGCGAAGCCGTTGGACGTCAGGATGTCCTCCACGTAGCCCACATCCGGCGCCACGCACGACACCGCCAGCCGGCAGCCCTCGTCGGCGAGCAGCTCGTCGAGGCTCGAGACGCGCACGCCGCGCAGCGCCTCTGGGAAGGGCTGTCGCGTCCAGAGCTGGTCGCCATAGTTGGCCACCAGCGCATCCTCTTTCTGCTGCCACACGTCCTCGTACAGCAGGCCCTCTGACCGCTGCGAGCCCACAATCGGCCCGAGGCAGAAGGTCGGGTGCGCCAGCAGCCGGCGGGCGAGCAGCCGTCCGACGTAGCCGGTGCCACCGATGATGGCGAGCGGCGTCCGGCCGTCGGCGGCGAACCGCGGCGGGACCACGGCACCGCCCTCGCCGACCTGCGGAGAGACCGTGCCGACCATTGGAGAAGGCTAAGGAACGATGGTTTTTCTTCCCTTAAAAACAAACCATTTGCGGGAATGTACGTTTGGGTTGTCTGTTTTCTTTCTTTTCTGCTCGTGCAGGTAAATAGGGACTCCACTGTGCTGCGAACCTGTCGCTGTCCCTTTTGTCAGTAGCAGGAGAACTAGGAGAGTGCAACCAGTAGGAGGCCCGCGCCTGCCTGCCCCTGTGCCGCCGGGTGCAACTTTGTCCTAGACGAGAGGGGGATCCCTGGGGCCCTGTCGTGTGGGTGAACCCTGCCCAGCCCCCTCCGTGTTGCGATGCGCTTCCCGCTCCCGTTCCCTGTGTCCCTGATCGTCCTTCCAAGATCCTGCTCGCGCAGGTGGGGACCCTGTCCTTCTCCCACCCCTTGTTTGGTTTGTCCGCTTTATTTATTGCTCGTGCAGGTGGGGACCCTGTCCTCCTCCCCCATCCCTCGTTTGGTTGTCCTGTTTTATTTATTTCTTTCTTTTGTAACGTAAGAGCTACATACACTGAGAGAGAGAGAGAGGGCCTAGAAAACACAACCCCCTCTCCCTTTCTAGAAAGCTAAAAGTAAAACACTGAAGTTATCGAGCCGTATTTTCGCGCTAAAAGAAAGAAAGAAAACAGAGAGAGCCAAACGAGCGGAGGGATGGGGAGGAGGACAGGGTCCACACCTGCACGCGAGCAGGATTTTGGAAGGACGATCAGGGGCACAGGTGGGAGAGAAAGGGGCTCTCCTGACAAGGGAAGGGACACGACAGGCTCGCAGCGCGGTGCCACCTAGGCGCTAGGGTGCCACGGTGGACTCCTTGGCGCTTGGTTGGGCTGTCCGAGGTTTGCCTCTCGCACCCCGTCTGTTTTCGTTTCCTTTTTTCACAAGATTCCATTTTCCCGGGAAAACTCCGTGGAAATCGTCAAATTTTGGGCTCTGAGGACTGAGCCGAGTCTGAGGCTGGTTTGGGCCCAAAATCAGCCAAATTTTAGGCCAAATCGGCAAAATGCCGGGAATTTTGCGGAGAACCCGTGTTGCGTGTATACCTGGAAATTACCCTGCGACCGCCTGGGTATTTTGTCGATTTCCCTCAATTTTGCCTCCGATTTTGCCCCAGACCAGCTCTCAGACACAGACTCCAGAAGACAAGCTGCCGAGCCCAAATCACTGTGTCTGAGAGAGAGAGAGATTTTTATTAACTCTCTCTCTGTGTCTGTGAGAGTCGTGATTTCTTGTTGGTTAATAAAAATCTCTCCCAGACTCAGGGAAACTCGCGAGTTTCCAGAATGGAGCACCAAACATCTGTTTTCCCTGGAAATTCCCGGAAACGCAAAGTGCTGAGGACGATTTTTTTCTTTTTGTTTAGCCCAATGGACTCCCAACTCCACAGGCGGTTTAGTTAGTTAGTTAGGTCTCATCTCAGTCTAGGCTCTAGCGACCTGCCTAGCTTATCACTGTTTTCGCGCTTGGGAGTCGTGTCTCGTGTGCCGGCTTTTGGATTCTCGCGCGCGCAGCGCACCCGCACGAATTCTTAAAATACAAGCCTCTTCACAGCGGACTGGCGCGGACTGGCACACACACCGGCTCACAAGCACACCGGCACACCGGCTCACAAGTAGAAAATCCTGCGGTGCCACTTCCCATGACCGCTCCCGCGCCTTCCTTCAACGCCAAGGCGTGGATGGCCGCCAACGACCCGGGCGGGTCCTCTCGTCGGGTCGGGATGGACCAGCTCACCACCCGGCTCGAAACGCTGCAGCTCGAGCACGACGCGCTCACGGCGCTGCTCTTGGACGAGGAGCGTGCGGATGCCGCTGCCCTCAGAGAGGCCGGCACCCAGATCCCGACGCTCGACGGCCATGTGAGCACGCTGCAGAGCCGGGTGGACGCCGTCGCCGTCGGCGACGATCACGGGCTGCGTGCGCAGCGCAAGGCGCTAGTGCAGGCGTCGGCGGCCCTGAGCGAGCAGGTGCAGAAGCTTCCCGCGGCGCTGTCTGCTCGCGTCGCCACAGTGGCTGAGCGACACAGGCTCGCTGGCAACGACCACTACCGCAAGCGGCACTACGACGCCGCGATCCGCTGCTACACGGACGCGATTGCCGTCGACCGCCGCAACCCAGTCTACCTGTGCAACCGGAGCGCGTGCCACCAGGCCAAGGAGCAGTGGAGGCTGGCGGTCGCCGACGCGAGGGCGGCTGCGGCGCTGGACGTGAACTCGCCCAAGGCGTACTCCTTCCAAATCAAGTCGCTGCTCCGCCTCGGCGAGGCGAGGGAGGCGGCGCGTGTGCTGCAGGCCGCTCCGCTGGTGCTCCGCGCAGAGAACGTCGGCTCACTCTGCGCCGCCGCCGCGCTCTGCCGCGGACCCGCCCACGACACGTCCACGACGCGCGCGTAGGCGGACCTCGTCGCGCTGAGAGCGACGCTGCTCGGCGAGCTCAAGGAGCGCGGGAACGCGTGCTTCAAGGCTTCGCAGAACGACCAGGCGATCGAGCTCTACTCCCTGGCCATCGACCTCGACGGCGCCGCGTCGGCGGTCTACCTCTCGAACCGATCCGCCGTCCACCAGGCGAAGCGGATGTGGCGCGAGGCTGCGGCGGACGCGCGGCAGGCCATCCGGGCGGACCCGTGCTTCGTCAAGGCGCACCTCCACCTCGGGAAGGTGCTGCTGCAGCAGCGGCAGCTCGGCGAGGCCAGGGAGGCGGTGCAGCGCGGCATGGCCACGCTGCAAGAGGCGGGGCAGAACGCCGCGTGCGCGCCTCTGCAGGTCGGCGCAGCCCCATCCCCAGTGCCCCGGCCCCAGTGCTCCGCTGACCCGTCTCCATGTAGCGCAGGAGCTGCTGCAAGCCATCATGCAGCAGTCCGGCGGCGGCGGCGGCGGCGGCGGCGGCGGCGGCGGCGGCGGCAGTGGCAGTGTGTGCAGCGGCGGCGAGAGCTCCGGTGCGGGCACGGGCACAGCCGCGGCGCTGCGAGAGCAGGGCAACGCGCTGTACAAGGCTGGCCAGTACGCCGAGGCGCTGCGGCTCTACTCGCAGGCGGTCGGTGCGGAGCCGAGGAACGGCGCGCTGCACGGCAACCGCGCGGCGTGCTGGATGATGCTCGGAAAGTACGAGCGGGCTGTGGCCGACTGCTCGGAGGGGCTGCGGCACGAGGCGGGCTCGGAGCTGGGCAAGCTGCGCGGCCGGCAGGCGACGGCTCTCACGCGGCTCGGCAAGCTCGACCGCGCGGCGGATGTGCTGCAGCAAGGGGCGCTGCGGGGCGGCGAGCACGCGGAGGCGCTCGGCGCGCAGCTGAGGAGCGTCAAGGGGCTGCAGGCCAGCCTCGCCGTCGGCAGGCAGGCGCTGGAGGAGGGCGCATTCGGCAAGGCGAAGCGCTGCGCGCTCGAGGTGGCTGGCGGCGGGGTGAGCGAGGACCCGGAGGTGTGGCTGCTGCTCGCGCGAGCGCACCTGTCCCTCGGAGAGCATGTCGAGGCGGCGCGCGAGGCGCAAAAGGCGATCGCGCTGGACGCGGACACGCTCGACGCGTACACGCTGCGCGCAGACGCGCTGGTCGGCATGGGGCTGGCGGAGAAGGCGATGAGGCTGCTTCGGGACGGGCTACAACGCGACCCGGACAACGAGGCGGCCGGCGGGAGCAGCGCCCGCTCGCCCGTCCCCTCGGCCGCTCACCCCAGCCGCGCCTCCGGCCCCAGGCGGCGGCGGCGGCGCTGCGACGGCTCAAGCGCAAGGCGGCCGGGCACGCGCGGGTACGCGAGGAGCTGCAGGAGGCGTTCCGTCTGCGCCGCTTCGAGGCGGCGGCCGCGCTCTGCGCCGAGGGGCTGCGCTTGGACAGCGACGACAAGAGGCTGGCCGCCGGCTTCTACGCGGACCGCGCGAAAGCGTACCAGCTCCTTGCGCGCTCGCGGGCGCGCGGCGAGACGCGACGCGAGCGCGAGGACGCGGCGGCGGCCAAGCTGGGCGGCGGCGGCGGCGGAGGGGGGGGCGGATCGCTGCGCGAGCTGGCGGCGGACGAGGCGGCGCCGCCCGAGGGCGATTCCGACCCGCGGGCCGCCGCGCCCGCCTGCTGGAGACGCTGCATCCAGGAGGCCGGCCGCGCCATCTACGCCGAGCCGACGCTCCTCGCGCCGTACTTGCTCAAGGCGGAGGCGCTGCAGGCGCTCGAGCGCTGGCGCGAGGCGCTGGCGACGATGGAGCAGTGCGTCAACTCGGAGCCGTCGCGCCGCAGCGACCAGGCCGTGCTGCAAAAGGTGGTCGAGGCGCAGTTTCTGGTCAAAAAGTCGGAGCGCGACGACCTCTACGCGTTGCTGGGCGTCACGGGCGTGGGCAGCAAGGCGTCGGAGAAGGAGGTTCGCGCGGCGTACAAGCGCGCGGCGCTCGAGTGGCACCCGGACAAGCACGCCGAAGAGTCGGCGGAGCAGAGGGCGGAGGCCGAGGCGCACTTCAAGAAGCTCGGGGAGGCGCTCGAGATCCTCACGGACCCCTTCAAGCGCAAGCTGTGGGACGAGGGCCACACCGTCGAGTCCATCGGGCAGCAGGCGCAGCAGCGGCGGCAGCAGCAGCAGCAGGGCCGCCCGCGGTGATAGCGCTTAGCGGCGTAGAGCCGGTAGAGAGTTTGTTTTTGTCAAAAGTAAGAAAATAAAACCGTGAACCCAAGGGAAGGTGGGCCATGCCCATATGGCCATGCGCCATGCGATGCATGGCCCCGGGGTCGAGGACGCGGCGCTTGTGGCTTGAGAGATTAGATGATTACTACTAGAAATACTATAGTCTATACTATATTTTACCAAATCGATTTCATTGCGAGAGTTCTCCTCTTTCGACTTTCCGGGGGTCTCGCGAGTGGTTACAGCAGCGCGCCCCGGCGGCCGACGCCCGTGCCCCGACGCGCGCCGCGACGCGTGCACTTTGACGGCCACTCCGGAGTTGATGGCGACTGCTGGGTCTCGACGAAGACCGGGGACACCTGGTTGTGTTGGTTGCCCTTAGTAAAGTGGACGTCACTAGTAGCATGTTCTCTGTAGAGTTCGTGTGTTTGCAGAGGATAGCGGGAGATACAAGGCGGGACACAGTTGGATGTATACTATCGAAGGTGAAGAACAGAAAGAAAGAAAGAAAACAGACAACCCAAGGGAGGGATGGGAGGACGGCACGCCGCCACCACACAGGGATTTTAAGGAGAGGTGTGTGGTGCGCTATCCGTCGCCCACCCTAGGGAGTCTGCCTCTTCCTATCTCTCTTTTCGCAGTCTCTCGCCGATTCTCGCTGCAACCTTCATGCCACCTCGCGGTCGTCCCACCCTCGTCGTTCTCTCCCTTGTCACTTCCTCCTCTGTCGCGTTGTTCTCTTCTGCCTCGTCCTGCGACGCCGCCGCCTGCCGGTCCCTTGTTCTCGCGGCTTCTTTCGCCTGTCGGCGCAACTCCGTCCTCCTCGCGGCGTATCCTGGCCCCTCGAGTCTATCGAGCTCCCCTCGCGCAAGGACCACATTTCTGACTCCCACTCCGATCATTTGCCTACAGGTCATGTTGTTGCTCAGGTCCACTCTCTCTTCGAACACTCGTGCCTCTACGGATGCTGCCGGCGCTGGGGTCCCCTTCGGATGCATCGTGACATCTGACAACTGGATTTCCACTGGTTCGTCCTCCTCGGAGTCATCTTCCCCGTCCTCCTTCCGCTCGGCTCTTCGCTCGGTACGTTCGGTGTGGCTCACCCTCCATGCCGTGAACAGGCGCTTTATCCACCCTATATTCTTCTCTCGTTCCTCTGCCCGTGCCTTGGTCTTGTCGTTGTTTCGCACCCATGTCTGTATGGCAATCGAGGCTGCCTTCCCCACTACCTGCAGTTCCCTCGTCACCTCTCCCGCGAGCTCCCTTCTCTTTCTTTCGGGTATGGAGTCCGTGAGTGCGGGTAGCGTGCAGGCAATCACGGGCGCTATTTTGTCGTACTCCTCTTCGGCGAGCGCTCCAAATCTAGACCCTTTCGCCTTTAAGGAGGCTGCCCTCGCTCGTCTCAGGAATGTGGCGGTGTCTTTTGAGTCCGGCGCCTCCCGTTCAACTCTTGCTGTCGCCCTCGCTGTGTGTTTGTCGAGCTTCCGCATGAAGTGACGCGCCTCTTCCTTATTTCCAGCGCAGCTGCCGCTCAGTATGTGCGCCAACGACGCCTGTGCGCTGTGGTGGCTCACTGTCTTCATGTTTCCAGTCGTCCCAGTCTCCCAGTTTCCCCGCGTCTCCTCCTTGCCTCGCGCGCCTCTTTTGTGGCCTCATCCCAAGGTGAAGAACAGCTCGGACTGGCGGCGGAATTCTTTTCTTGAGGGTCGTGTGGAGTGAGGCCGCAGCTCTCAAAGGGGAGCGCTGAGTGACTCCCTGACTCCCTCCATCGGGAGTCCCGCTCTCGCTCTCTGAGTATTGTGGATCGCCGACCGAGCACCGTTCCTCAAGGCTCACTCGACAAGCTCCGCCAAGCCGCCGGCGAGAGAGATGTAGCTCGCTCTCGAGCACGGTCATCACGGCAGGTGTCCCTCTCGTTCGAACGCGAGAGTGGCACCGGCGTTGAGCCTCGCAGGGGCTGCCGGGGTCTCGCGTCAGGGTCGTACAAAGATGTAAGGTACTAGAAGCAGAGCAGAAAGAGAGCAGCCACGACAGACCGCAGTTCGGCAGAGCCGAACTAAGAGGAGACGCGTGACACAATCGAGGGACGAAACTCATGTGAGACAGAGGGTCACGCCTCACGCGGGACAGGAGAGTAAAGTGCCAAGAGGGGGCACCACAGAGAGTAGTTACTATCTCCGCATTCCAACGCCTCTGCATGTGCGGAAATAGCAGCTGCGAAAACCACCTAACCGCCGAAGAGGCACGCGCCACCGCGCGTGAGGAGGGTCTCGAGCTGGTGCCAACAACGGCAGAAAATGTCTTTTGCTCGCCTGGCTTCGGCCCACCCGTTCCTCGCGGTGGTCTACGGTCCCACAGCAGGACTTTGCTCGCGGCAAGTGCGCGACACGTACTGGCGCTGCGCCGCTCCCTGCCGTCTCGCTCGGCCCGCTTCCTTGAGAAAAGAATTCGCTCCTGCCGTGTGGCGCACGAGGTAGCTGCGCGTGTGCGCGTGTAGCTGCAGCATGCACGCCTGCTTCTCGCCGTAGCAGCACGCGCGGCACTGGGACTCGCGCGCTCTGCCGTCCCGTTCCAGCGGGACGCCGGCTCGCGTCGCCTCGCTGCGCGCGTGCCACCCCTCGCCGCTGGCTGCGCCTGCTGCGCACGTCCCCTCTGCGCAGAGTCGCCCCCTTGCTGCCTGTCGCGCGCCGCACCGTCGTGCCGACCCTTGCGCGCCTGCTGTCCCCTGCGCAGGCGGTTCTGTCTCCGTCGCCGCTGCTCGTCCGGCCGCCATGGGTTATGGAAAGGGCGCCCGGCCTATGGGCTACCGCGCCCACACGCGCGACCTCTTCTCAAAGAAGCCCAAGGACAAGGGCGGCAACCCGCCGCTCACCACCTTCTTGCGGCAGTACAAGATTGGCGACACCGTCGATGTTGTGTGCAACTCTGGCCAGCAGAAGGGCATGCCGCACAAGTTCTACCACGGCCGCACCGGCACTGTGTGGAACGTGACGCGCCGCGCCATCGGCGTCGAGGTGAACAAGGTGCACCGGCAAAAACAGCTCGTCAAGCGCATCCACGTGCGCGTCGAGCACCTGCGGCCCTCCAAGTCGCGGCTCGGCCACCTGGACCGGGTCAAGCTGAACGAGGAGAAGAAGCGCGCTGCCAAGGCGTCGGGCACGCCCTGCCCCGCCTCGGAGCTCAAGCGGCAGCCCAAGGGCCCCCGCGAGGGCTTCCTGCTCGACCTGAGCAAGACCTTCGGTGAGAAGGTCCACACGCTCACGCCCGTGCCGTATGTCTTCAAGCCGCTCGAGAAGATTGCCGTCGGCCACGCCAGCTAGGCCCGCCACTGAGAGCGCTCGGCGGGCAGGGGCGGGGCTGGCTGAACGGCGGGGCGGCGGCCTCGGTCATCACGCCACCGCCACGCACGCGCGGCGTCCGCGGCGCGGGCTGGGGGGTGCACATGGCTCTTTTCTCTATGCGCGCGTCTGTGCCAAGGGCGGTGTCTTGAAGTGTGCTGCTGGGCCCCAGCCCCCGTTCGACGAGCGCTCGGCCCCGTGGTCGGTTCGTTTTAATGTTTTGAATGCTTTTGTACGCCACGCGCGTTATTCCGCGCGGCCAACGCCAAATCGTGTGTCTCGTGAAACGAAAGGTTTGAAAAACGTGTGTCTAACGTGCGCGGAGCCGGAGGTTTGTCGTGAGCGGCGCTGCAGGCGCGCAGCGCGCAGCCCCCCCCCCCCCCCCCCGCCGGACACGACTGCAGTGCCAGTGGCCAGTGCTCGGCTCTGCACTGTGGTCTGTGTCGTCTGTGGGGGGCGCGAAGGCCGAAGCCGCGCGCCGCGCCACCGGCATCGCCACGCGCCAGCCGCCGTTCCGAAGAGGCAAGAGCTCGGAACGCCGCGGCGGGTCATCACTGTATACACTGACACCGCGCCCCTGAGGCTGAGCCCTGGCCTGTCAGGCACTGTCAGGTGCCTCTGTCAGACCAGCTGTCAGGTGCTGTCAGTGCTGTCGGGTGCTGTCGGGTGCGTGTCTGACAGGCGAGGGGATCGGCTGTAGCTGTCGGGTGCTGTCAGAGCTGTCGGGTGCTGCTGTCAGACGCTGTCAGACGCTGTCGGAGCTGTCGGAGCTGTCAGGCTGCTGCTGCTGTCAGACGTTGGGCTGTTGCTGTCAGGTGCTGTCAGGTGGTGCTGTCGGGGTGCTGTCAGGCTCTGACACACACCAGCCACACTTATGACACTATCAAGAGGAGACCAGCAGGACTCTACTACACATACTCTCAGCGCCTCTCCTCCTACACGGCGTGATCACGCCGGCGGCGGCGGCCGCCTGGGGAGCGCATATGGCGGCGCAGGCGCAGGCGGCGGCGGCGGCACAGACGGCGGCGGCTACCCCCACCCAGACGCCGTAGGCATATGACTGGAGGGCCCCAGAAGGCTAGCTGGTAGCTTCATTTGTAGTAGCACAGCCGCCGGTGCTAGAGAGGGGTCCGCAGAGGTGGGGCGGGAGGGTTGAGAGAGAGACCCATCGGACCATCCCATGTGCCATGACTACATGGACATGGACCACACTCACATGTCTTTGCATGTAATTTTGTTATACCCTCATGGGGCACAAGAAAGAGGCTCTACGGGGTCTGTGTGCGGTCTGTGCTGCTGTCGGGCTGTCAGCGCTGCTGTCAGGCCACTGTGTGCTGTCGGGCTGTCGGGCAGCTGTCAGCCCTGTCACGTTAGGGCCTGACAGCGACGGGACCCCCCTCGGCCTCGCCTGTCAGACTCTGCTGTCAGGCTGTCAGATACGTGCTGTCAGATTGTCGGAGAAAGTGCTGTCAGCGCTGTCAGGCTGTCGGGCACTGTCAGGCGCTGTCCGGGGTTTGCTGTCAGGCTGTCAGACCAAGGCTCAGGACACCGTTTCGTTGCTCGTTGGACGTTGCGTAACTTTGCGTGATGCGTCGCACGATTTCGGGGCCGTCGTATCGGCGATGGCACGCGTGTATGCCAGCCTGCGGCTCTTGAGCGTCGCGGCCCCTACTCTGGCGTGCACAAACGTGCTCGTGACTCAGGAGGCCTCCGCCTCGGGCAACATCCTCCTCGGCTACAACGACGACTCCTCAAACCGCTACGCTGCCATCACCCGCTTCCCAGCGCAGCCCGGCGAGGAGGGCAGGCAGCGACCCATTTACTTGTACGACAACGGCAACTTCTCTGGGTACATCCCCGACGAGAAACCAACTTACAATGTCATCTCCAACTCCAACGAGTGGGTGCGGTGCCAGCACTCTTGAGTATCGACCGATCCCTTTCCAACCCTTCACGCTGAGCTTTGAACCGTGTGCCTCAGGGAGTGGTCATCGCCGAGACGACTCACGGTGGGCTTAGTCTGCTTGACACCGACCTGAAGACGCAAAACGACGGCGTCGGCCATACTATGGATTACGGCTCTCTCATATACACCGCGCTCCAGCGCAGCAGGACGGCCCGGGATGCGATCGGTGTCATCACGAGTCTCACCCAGAAGTACGGGTACTCCTCCGCGATGGAGGGCTTCTCCATCACAGACGGCGTCGAGATTTGGTTCGTGTCGGCCTGCAGCCCTGCACCCCCACCCCCACGCTGCGCCCCTGAAACGCTGATCCGCGCCTCCAGGATCCTCGAGATGATTGGCAAGGGCGAGATCGAGAAGGGCACCCTATGGCTCGCCAAGCGGCTCCCTCCCGGGACCATCTACGCACACGCGAACCAGGCGCGGCTCGGCGAGATCCGTTCGCCGACAGGGTACGAGGGCAACCCAAAAAAACTCAAGTACAAAAACTGTCATTCGAACGAAGAAGGTGAATTGGAATGTTCCGAGATGTATTCCGAGGTGGGACATTGGTACAAGAATGGCTGCCTGCGCTTTGTCTTTTCGAATCAAGGAGGGTTCGCCCATGGTCCACCTTTGGTGGAGGATCTGGCGACTGCCTCTGGCGACCCCTTTGATGGCAAGATGACTTACTCGGCCCCGGGGTCGAAGACATACGATTATGTGCTGGACCCTGACCTCGACTGCATGGTTTCGAGCAACGCAGGGGACGGGACCAGATTTGACGCAGCAAAAAGGAATCTGGACCCAGAGGAATTCGCGCTCGAACAGGGCCTTTACGACCCCAAGGACGGCCCCTTCTCGTTCTCCGACGTCTTCTGCCCGGTGGACTTTGGTGGGGCGCGCTACTGCGAGGCGCGAGCCCCTGTCCGCTTCCTTCCTCCTCCCTTGCCGCGCGCCATCCAAGCCCGTCAGGTCCCTGTCGCAGGCACGCGTGTGGAACATATTCTCGAAGGTCGCTCACCCTGACGATTTCGACTCCGCCGCCTACCTCGGCTACGCGAAAGGCTACGATCTCGCCAACCGGATGCCCGAATTCGTGCGCGTCAAGAAGCCAATCTCGCGGCTGGACGTGCATGACCTGCTCAGCCTCACGTACGAGGGTACCTGGCTCGACCCGGCGGTCGACATCGGCGCCGGTGCGGCAATCACACGCCTGCAGCAGTCCCGGCCACGCCTTTCGCAACAACCTGTTTTGCGTCCCGAGGGAAGCCTGCGACACCCGCCGCAGGTATCTTCCGCACCCCGCAGCGGCTTGGCGCGGGGCTCTCTTGGACGTCTGAGGGCGAGTCGTACATCAACGAGCGACCCGTCGGCACCTTTTACACGGCGTGGCACTTCGTCTCTGAGGTGCGCAACTCGAAGCGGTGCCAGGTGTCTGCGCCGCGCAGCGCCGGAGCGCCTTCGCAGTCTCCTTGCCCAAACCACTGATCCCGCGCCAGGCCCTTGAGCAACCTGATTGGGACGTCGTAATGGACTTCATGAAAGGTTACGTCGACGGCGTCCTCGCACCGATCAAGGCAGCACATGGACATGGCCCCCCGCCCTCCCCCGCCCCCCCTCTCACCACCACACCACCAACACCAACTCCACCACACCAGCTGGTCCTGCATCCTTCCAGGGACAGGAAGCGATGCCTGCGCCGTGGGACACGCCAACGAATTCCCGCTACGCAGGGGCGGACTGCTTCCCGCCCAAGATGAGGTCTGTCACGTGGTGGGGCGCCAAGCAGCACAAGTGGTGAGGGCGGCTGGGCGAAAAAAAATTGTAATATGCCACAGGGGGTCAAAGATGGAGGCGCTGCTCCTCTAGGTCGCCAAAGATCCCACTCTACGGCGGCGCAACAAAGGTGGCGCTGTCGCACGACGACGGCAATTGCAGCGCGAGGGCGTCATGCCGCGCCTACTTCAACTATCCCGGCGCGCCGCACGCCCCTCTCCCTCCCCTCCGGCTCGACAAATTGACCTGACGCCCCAGCCCTTCCCCGCCCCTTGAGGCTCGGAGATCAAGTACGCACCCGACTCGATACACTGGAAGGTCACTGCGGTTAGCAGAGCCGGACTGCTCGCTGGAGGAGGGCAACGGCCGGTGCGACCTCACATCACGTGAATAGGTGAGCAACTTGGTCTACTCGATGCAGAGTCACGTGAGCGAGGACGTGCTGGATGCGCGCAAGAAGTTCAACGACTATGCCGAGGGGATGCTGAAATCGATGGATGAGAAGCTTGTGGCCATGACCGAGGAAGAGGCGCAGACGCACATGGACAAGGCCACCATCGACATGGGCGCGATGGCGGTCGATTACTGGGATTATCTGTGGCAGACCTTGCTCGCTGCGTACGCCGACGGCTACACGCGGCTGCCGGGCAAGGAGGGCGACGAGGGCTACAATTATCTCTTTGAGGGCACCAAGAAGGCGTCTGAGGCCGACGAGGCCTGGAAGAAGGCGGTCGTGGCGGACACTGGGATGAAATACCGTCAGCCAGGAGGGTCGTGTGCCGAGTTCGATCCAGACGGCAAATGCCTCTCGACGTCGCGCGGCGTCAAGAAGGGTGGGCCTGTCGTCCCAGCCTCCAAGCGGCACGGCGTCTCACCGTAGACGCGGCCTTAGCTAGTGTGAAGCTTGGGGCTGGCGACGCACGGTCGACGGACGGGGCCTCGGTTCACGGTCGGGAAATGGGACAATTGTGCAGAGAGAGAGACAGAGAGATCTCTGAGCTGGGAGAGTGAGTGTGGGACGTGATCTCCCCCAGCTCGCGCGGCGCGGTCGCGCCAGGGTCGCGCGCGCAAGGGCCTTCACGCTTCAGGCGAGAGGCACACTCCACAATTGATTGTGAGCGGAAACAGCTGTGACCTGGTGTGTGTGAAGTCGTGTGTGTCGTCGTTGTGACCCTGCCTATGTGGCGACCGGGGCGTCGTCCCAACACTCAGTCCCATGCGCGAGCCATGACCCATGTCCATGCCCATGTCTCAGATCTCAGATGTCTTATGTGGATATGCCTTAATAGCGATTGTAGATTGTAGTGTCAACTGTGTTGTAATATCTTCGCGCCCAACTTGACGTTGAACGCCACACCAAAAGACCACATCCCGCCCGGCACTCCCTTCTCAACCCTTCGTCCCCCCATTGTGCTAGCTACTGACGTATACCGTGATCTCAGCGCCATACCTCCCCTTCAGGCCTCGACAGGGACGGGCATGTCTGCGAGCGCCGCCTCGAGCTGCGCCATGCGCGCGTCGAGCGGCACGCTCTCGCACTTGGCGCCGTCGGGCGCGAGGGCGAGGAGCTGCAGCTGCGCGCCCACGTCGGGCCCCGCCATGCGACCCGTGACGGCGAGGCGGAGCGGCATGAAGAGGCTCTTCCCCTTGAGGCCGAGCTCCTTGCCGAACGACTTGACGGCGCTCTTCCACTCCGCCTCGAAGTCGGGCGAGGCGCCGTCGGGGAGGACGCCCTCGCGGTGCGCCGCGACGAGCGCGCCGCCCACCCGGCGCAGCTCGTCGGCCAGCTTCTGCGCGCCGCTGGAAGCGAGCGAGTCCGCGAGCGGGTAGGCGAGCGCGTCGCGCACGAGCGGCGAGGCGTCGTTGACGAGCTGCGAGGGCGGGGATATGGGGAGATATGGGGGATATGGGGAGATATGGGGAGATATGGGGCGAGGCGTCGTTGACGAGCTGCGAGGGCGGCGGGTAGAGCGTGAGGGCCGGATGGAGCGAGGGCGAGGGGTGGCAGGAGAGGGGGGGCGGGGGGGCGTGGTCATCGCGAGGGCGAGAGGCGCGAGGGCGAGGGAGTGAGGGTGCGAGAGTGAGGGGTGCGAGAGTGGGCACGCCTCGATCTTCTCGGCGACCATCCGCGAGGCGGAGAGCGAGAAGGGCGAGTCCGCCGCCATCGCGACGCCCGCCTCGGCGAGGTGGCGCCCGACAAGCGCGGCGCGCTCCTCCTCGGCCAGCGCGCGCAGGTGCTGGCCGTTGATCCAGTTGAGCTTCTTGAGGTCAAAGACCTGCGGGCGGGGAGGGGAGGGGAGGGCGGGTGTCGCGCAGTGCGGTCGCAGCACCTCGAGGCCTGACGCAGCCGAGATGATGCAGCCAGGGCGAGACACGGGGGCGATGCGGCCGAGGGCCTGGCCCTTCGGGCGCGGGTTGGGGGCACACAGCGGGGGGGTGTTCGGTGTTGCGCATGCTAGGGGCAGCGGACGGCGGGAGACTTTGTGACGCGATCGAGCGAGAAGGCGGCGGCCAGCTCGTCGACAGAGTAGATCTCCTGCGAGTGAGTCATGAATGAGACTGAGTCGACGCAATTCAGCCGTGAGGCCGACGGCGCGGGGTGGCTCCTGGTCGGTCGAGTCGTTCCAGCCGAGAAGGCAGAGGTAGTTGAGCATCGCTTGCGGCAGGTAGCCCTGCTGCCGGAACTGGTTCACCTGACCGGACCGGAGGAGGGGGAGGGAGCTCGGAGGAGGAGGAGGGGAGGAGGGGGAGGGAGGGGGGGAGGTGGAGAGGGCGCACAATCTTTCGAAGGTAGTTGCGGGATGGCTTGCACTGGCTATACCAGGCGCTGTCTGCAGTACAGACGGAGCCAGCTTCACAACAGGTGGCGCCAGTCCAGGAGTTGCCGCCGCACTGCGCCCATTTTAGCTGACAAATGGTAGGGTTGCCGCCCGGCATGCCTGGGCGCGGAAAGACTGCGGTCGGGCAGCCCGCGTAGCCAGGGTGGGCCGCGCACCAGGCGCTGAGGCTCACGCCCTTCTGGCAGGCCATGCACGAGGCGGTCATAGCCATGCAACACACTGTAGGGTTGCCACCAGGAGCAGGGTGAGGTGTGGCCCACCAGTCGCCCGAGTGGTGGTTGCCGCCGGAGGTCCCGCAGCCCCAGCCGTTGCACCCTTGCGCCTGCCAGTCGCCCGTGTGGTGGTTGCCCTCGATCTTTCCGTTCACCCCTTCAGCCTTGTATTGGCCCGTGTACTTGTTGGCGGTGTAGGAGCCCTGGTGGTTGCTCGCAGTGGTCTGGCCGGTCCATTTGTTCGTAGTGATCTTTCCGCCCTTATAGTCGGTTAGCGTAGTGGTGCCGGTCAGGTGGTTAGTGTGTGCGCAGCCCCGCCAGTCGCATCCCCCCGTTACCCACTTCTCGGTCGGCGGTGCCGCTTCTCCCGCAGCCTTCTCTGTCGGCGGTATGGGCTGCGCGGAGACCGCCGCCTCCGTCGCCTTCTCAGCCAGCGGGGCGGGCTGCGTGAGCACAGTGACGACGAGCGGGACCAGCATGACGCGCCGGGCCCAAAAACT